AGACTCTGATAAACCTTATGCAGCTATCGTTTTTTGTCCATCTTAGTCCGCGGTAGCAATTAGGTCTTAAATACAATGTCAACCCAAGGAGATCTAGGAACAACATAATTATCAATGACACCTTTGATTAGAATACTCAATCGCTTTGACCCTGATCRAACATTAWAWAAAGWACATAAAAATTTTACAAAAGGGTTTTTATGAATTAAATATATTTATAGTATTTCTTCCACCTCATTCTTGGTCATGGTGATCAAAGTTTTGCTATAATATATGTCAGCGACTTCTTTATAGTTTCTAACGAACACAATAAAACCAACTAATCCTAGCATAGCATGACATATGCATAGTGGATGAACACCATACCGCTGTCCGCTAATTACTAATATCTGTATTCGGAAATTACAAACAAACAGGTACATCATAGTTCGAATATTTKTGAATATTATATATTTATATTAGTTCCCCGCTGGAAAATAAAACACAAAAAGGTTTTTTTACTACCATCATTTGAAATGTATCTGAAGACTTAGAACTACCTATGTGGAAGTATAGCGTGAATGTCTGTGAACTGGTTTCATTTCTAGGCCATTGAACTATTTGAACTTCATAAAATAATTCATCATTGGTTAGTSAAATATACAAYCCTGAAATTTGAGATCATCAAATTGCCAACTTCAAAGTTCAATGTTAATACAAATGTAACGAGYAGAGTTSAAAAGTTTTATAAAGAAAAGATTAAAATATAATATGAAATAATCGGATATTTAAGTTAATGACAGAAGTTTGTTTTTATAAAACAATAGCAAAACTGCAAAACGGTATTATACGTAACACTTATTTTATGTACGTAATTATTGTGATGAAATGTGTTATAGACTTATAGTGATATTGTGCATGCTGTCAGAAATTTATTGCAATACTTTATACTATTATGTGCATTGTCTAAAAAGTCTCGAAATCCTCAACATTGTGATATTTATTCTTTAAGGTCGTGTTACATATATTTAAAAAAAATGTTRAATTCGAAATTACACACAAGGGTTGATTAAAAATCCGATAGATATTTTACTAGAGATACGTATCTACTGTTATTATACATTGTGAGTTGAACGCTTAAGCCTTTCAAAATCAATGGAAAAATAAAAAAAAAATTCCTTAAAAACGGAAATTTTTTCGCAACATTAATTTTCGACAGCATTTTTGATTGATCAGATTTTGATTGGTAAAATATACAATAAATATCTTATACAATTACAACAAGATTCTTGATAAGTTATTCTTATAACAATTAAACAATTTTGAATATACATTATACACAAACACAATTTTTTTGACCATTTGTAGTTAAAAGTTTAGTCCAATTTAATTTTTCAACATAAAAAAACCACTTTTCCTCGAATGGTTCTGGTTATTTCACCCCCCTTCACTCCCACGACAGAGCAATTTGTTGATGCCTGAAAGACTATATTCTATTGAAAATATAATACTTTAGAAAAAAAGGTGGCATACCTACCAAGTTATGTAATTTTTATTTACTGAAAACCACTATAAATGTATACTGGAACATTTCCCCTAGTACGTATATATTTTATATATATAAGGTTTAATGTAAATTAAAAACTTAACGTTTAAACAGTAATTTAATATTTATATTCACAAAAATATTTTTATTTATTTTTAATCTGCTGATCAATTATGAAAAAAATACTCAGTATGGAAATTAAATACTCTTTAAATGGTAGGTATAAAAATAAAATATGATATGCATTTGAAAATATGATATGAAATATACTTATAAACTCCAAAAATCATAAAAAAAAAAAAACACTTTACATAATATTCAAATATAAAATGGGGTGATCATGGYTGATGAATCAAGCCCTGTTATTTAATAATAATACAATGAAAGTTTTAGATGATAATTTTTTCTCATACCACTTCGTGCCCGCGTGGCCTGGTCTTTCTCCGAARCACTGCAGGCGTCCTTYGTTAACCATTATTTTACACGAGAAACTAGAAACTCAGTAGCCAAAAACACTACCTCAGAAGGTTAGGAATGAAGAAATGGGACCCCTTACAGTGCATTAGGTCTTGCCGAGGCAAATAACATAGTACAATTTTCGTGGGGATACATTAAAAATTCGAATTTCTATAGGTTTGCAAATTTCTCGTAGACACTCATTATACCTACATACAGGATAAACTAGTTTACCAGAGAGATTTCCGAGAACAATAATGGAACACAACACTTTTCATAAGACTTTTTTTATAACTAATGAGTAAAATTGTTTTACCTCGCTTGTACCACAGAATCTTTCAACAATATTTTACAGAAAATAATTAAGAAAAACTTTTGATTTGTGCCTTTGTTTGTATAATAACTCCTCGAGTCACGACTAAATAATGTCAATGCTTAAATAGGTAATCCTTTAAATTTTTCTAATTGAATTGTATACAAACTTACACAAATGCTATGTCATAAGCAGTATATTCATCGCCTGGCCGTTGTGCTTGAGTACACATATTGTCAGCGACCGACACATTTTCAATCACGTCTAACTTGTTTTCTTTGATGTAAGATCTGAGATATGTTTGGACATCCAATGCTGTACATGACGAAGGCACACATAAAGCCCATTTTATCATATCCAGTCGCTGCTTGAACCTTGCTCCACCGTACTATAAAACACAAAATAATTCAAAATTTATAAATAGAACATGGGTACCTTAGAACTAATTCGTAATAACTAATAAACATGCATACTTATGATGAAATTACTAATAATAAAAACACAATAAATTATTTTTTTAAAAGATTTATACTGCAATTATATAAGAACAAAAAAATCGAAAATAGTAGTAATAACTAAAAACTGATTTTTTGTTGAATTTTTGATAGCATGATTTATCTAAGGTATGTTTTTTCTAATAATTTCTTGTAACTTGTGTCTAACCCTAATAATTTGTATAAATTAGGTATATTTTATATATGATATTATAATATAGTTCTTAAACAAGTTATTGAAATAAAAGATTAAATAGTTATATTAACAATAATAAAAATGTATTTTTAAATTGTGTATACAAATTAAATCGCATGTTAATCGATTAATCTATAAATAAATCCAGTATAAAAAAAAAAACCAAGTTTTTGAAGGTCAATGAAAAATCATTAGAAAGTGATTTATATGATTATTATAGAAATGTATTGATAAAAAACATAACTTTGGAAGGAATCTCATGTTTTTATTATAATTGTATCTTTTTTATTATTATTATCATAATTTTTTACCAACACAAATTTACTCTTGGTGACATATAGGCCATTGGGTTAAATTTTTATTATTATTGTGCCTACTTAAAATGTTTGAGCATATTTYTATTATTACAATTATTTACAGGTTTGATTGTTTACATTTTATAACGTTTCGTTAATCTATAATATAGTTATAAGTTTATGTGCAATACAAAATCCGGGTCACAAATACTATGTCGTTTGCCACGTTATGCACAAATTTGAACTCGGCCCAACTCTGGAAATTTCCCGATAGTGAAACCTACCTTGATTATAAAAGCCAATTACAATACGATAAAATCTATAYGACATTACAGACGATATAGACATGAAGATAAATTTCGAATTTTAAATTTTAATAATATTATACAATTTATAATATTAATATATGTATAATACATTATACTTTAATGTTATTTAAAATTTAAATTTAAATATCAAATATATCAATTGTTCAAAACATAATACTTATAACTATAATTTTTACTTCTGAAATTTTAAGAAAGWGGCCATAAAAAGCACTAGATATAAATTTTTTTATTGTTTTTATTAAAATTARTATGTTGGCTCTGAAATCGTTTTCCAGTTATTTAGCATKCATCACAGATACATAGATCTATACTTCATAAACTTGTTTTTGCATTGTTCTAAATACATCGAAAGATAAGAGATTATTGAAAATCGTAGTTTTCCGTGATTAATATAAGTTTTGGTTTTTTTCCAAGAGTATATTTTAATATATTGAATAATTTTATTTTGTATTACTGCTATATTATATTCTGCACATTTTTAAGCATATATTTTTAAAAAAACATTAGTTTATTGGTATTCAAACTTAAATGATTTATAACAACAAAATGCATACGTATACTTAATGGCTATTTCTGACGAAATTGTAATGACAATATTATGTATTTATTATTTTTATTATTTTTATTGATGATTATTAATGTCCATCCGTGTACCTATATCTATATTAATTTTCAATCGATCCCTCTGTAATTTCATTTATAAAATATAATTTACCAATCTTTATTAATATTTTGTGATTTTATATTTACATCTGTAATTATTGTTTTACATATAATGTTAAAAAAAATTATAAAATCAGTTAAATAATTATAAAACATCTGTGTTTTTACTGTAACATTTATAACATTTATACAACTATAAGTTCTTAATACTATGAAATACTATTTAGATATTATCAGATTTTACAAGTTATATACTTTATATGATTATATAGCAGATAAATGTAGAGTGTTAATCTAGCGGTTATTCACATAATGACATATTTTCTTTGATATTTTAAAAGTTTGTTTTATGATATTTTCAGGTAAAATAATGCATACAAATTCCTCAGAATCAATACCTATGGACTATGGTTGTTACTGAAGCAACAAATATTGAATTTACGAAGAATAATGTATATCTAAGTAAATGTCAATGATCTTTTCAGTAAAAAAAACTACGAAAACTTACTTGAGATTAAAAAATGCAAGAAATACAGGCACGTATCTGGGATTTTAATATTTCAGTCAAGGTTGGTACAATTCGAACGAAGATTACCACTGGACAAAATATAATTACAGTCAAGAAAAATGTAAAAAATACCATAACCTAATGGCTAATAAGTACAATAACTTTATTGGAAACTTGGTATTAGGTAAACTTTCCTGTTTTTCGTATTTTTCTAAATTACTCAGAAAAGTAGTTAAGCGGAATCTTTTATAATAATACCCCTCAAATTCCATAAAGTTAAACTTTTTTTCTAGACAAGACAAAATATATTAAATTTGAAAATCTAAGCATATTAATACGTATTTTAACTTAATGATCATATTTTCAAATATTTATGCTGAGTTCCATGAATAATCATTAAACATTTAACAAATTAATAGTGAGACGATGATCAAAAAAAAAAAAACAACATAATTCAATGATTAATCTATAAAATGTTATGCAACTCGATATAGCATTCTCTATGTCTATACCATTTAACGAGTATCATATATGAAGTATTACAAATTCTTTTTTTATACAAATCAATTTTTTATGATTATCCTAAAGCCGATGATTTATACTTTAATTAATACTTATGTATCTAAATTTTTATTCAAACAAGTAGTTTTTGAATAATTTAACTAACTTAGTAGTCCAAGGATCGTAGACCTATATTTGCATGATAGTTATTAATGAAGTTATTATAATTTTTAAATTATAGTTATTACTCATTAGTATTAATCTTTTATTATTTTATAATTTGTAAAATTATCTGTTAGCGTGTATAATAGCAAACTACAACATTAAATATGACAAATAGCTAGGTATACAAGCTATTTTTAAGGATTATTATCCTTAGTATACAGAACATACATTTTAATAACTGAATAACACTTTATTTAAATATTAAATTACATAAACCACATCTGACAAAAACTCATCAAATAAGTGTCAGTAAAATAATAGGTGAGCTTGCATTTGAAAAAAAAGTTTGTATCACCTCAGGGTTGGTTGGTATGCAAATCAAAAAATGTTGACTATTCAGATAAAGTATTTTATTTGGTAAGTTATTATATTTTATTAATAATGTATTATTCATTATTATGAAAATGTGTACTTTTATAGTATAATATATTTTAAATATTTAATGTATAAAGGCAGGGGCGGATTTAAGGCACTGCGAACCATGCGGCCGCATAGGGCGGCAAATTTTGGAGGGCGGCAAAATTATGTCGAATATTTATTT